GGCGGCGGGAAACCCGTAATGGCCGGGCTTAATTAATTAACGTCCGCAAACGGTGACACTAGGGTCATGAGCGGCGTGAGGAAGTTACTAATTCCCTTTCCAGAACAGGATTTGCACAAATAAGTTAGTAAGGTTGAACAGCAGAAGAAAACAAAGTGTTGAATAAGAGGAGCACCATCTGTCCTGAACACCAAATGCAAAAAGAAGCCATAAAAACACCAAGGGATACAGTCCTTCATGGCACAACTACATTTAAAATCACACACCTATCCGTAATTTGTCAGGTTTCTCATTTCTGAGTGCTTGATGTTACTACTAAGATTCTCCAGACATACTTTTGCACTGTGTAATGCTCGTGTGCTCAAGCACTGCAGATTCCCATTCATTAGCACTAATTTTAGCAGCTTCTGTCCTTGTCAAATACCTCTCTCTCAACCTTACCCAGCACAGAGAGTTTCCAATAACATCATGGCAAGTGCCATTCTAAAACCAGTGTTTAGCTATCTGTGTCATGAACAAATCTCCCGGAGAGTAGAAATGCCACAAGATACAGTAGTCACCCTCTGAGAGCTTCTCTAACGTCCTGCCTGGCTCTATGTCTGTGCAAACCAGTTCCCTTCTGTAACAAATATTAACTCAACCTCGATTTTAATTATTTACATTATCCATCGTTCCTGCTCACTCTGCACCTTTCCTGAGCAGGCATGTTTTTGGATGAGTGAGGGACTGAAAAGCAGAGACACCTCTATGGGAAATAACGATGTTTGATGGCCTACAATTCTGAAGCCCTGCTGGGAAGAGTTGCTCATCTGCTAACGTGTTCACCTTCTGCTGCAACACAAAACAGTAGTTTCTGTTTTCACTGAGCTTTCTCTAAGAAAGGGAGTCTTGATAAGTGTTCATGTTCTGCTTTTTGGGAAAGAGGTTTGAGTTACAGGTAGAGATCTAATAAATGCTATAGGTAAAATGAGGAATTTGTGGTACTTTTAATGTCTAAGAAAAGCACCTTAATATTTAAACATTTCTTATAAGGGGTTCATTTGTATTTTAAACGTACATAAAGCGCTTGAATAAAAATAAGCTTTTTTTTGTGCAACTAGTGTTTGAATGTCATCTAGTGTCTCCCTTCCCCTGATGGATTTTTATATATATATCTCACCCCGATGGATTTTTTTATATATCTGTATGTAAATATATAAATATATATCAGTTATCAGAGCTAGTGAGAAATCTAGACCTACCACATTCCTCTTTTCTAGTCACTATAAATACATATAACAGAGGAGAATGCCTCTAATATAAAATGCTTTTTATGTCCAGTGGAGGCAGGATTGGTAGCACTGAACACTCCAATGAATATTAGCAGAGCAGGGACACTAATGAGACAGGACTCTCTTTATAATCTCAGATAAAAACAGCTGTATTGAAAGGACTACCTCTATAAACGGGAGGAAAGTTCTGTCAGCTGAGACAGAACAAATAAGCTAGTTACATGCCATAAGGTAGAAGTATTTTCATTACATTCTGGGTAGTTTCCAATACAAAAGCACAGGTTGCTGAACAACATTCAGATCATCACAACTTTTCAGATTCTGCCAATACGTTTTAACTCACAGTTTAAAGTAATGACCTCCATATCCCATTAACCGTTCTGTGCAAATGCAGTTCTGAAGTGAATTGGAGAGGTAGATTTAAGATCCTGTGCTAATGCAAAATCACAGAGCTTGAATTACTTATGAAATGAGTGATTTGCTACTGGCTTTACAGTAAGTAGGAATGGAAGAACATTCTTTGAAATGCTTTCCCTTTGAAAAAAAAATCAAAAAATGAATGAAGTAGTTATAGGAAATTATTGGCAGTGCAATGAAAAGAACGAAATAACATTTTAATGAGAAAAAAAATGAGTTGGCTATTATGAGTTTGTCCTCCGTATTCTGCTTTAACATTTTTGCTGAATGAAATTCCCTTCTTGCCATGCTAAAAACAATTACAATGTTAAGAGTATCTTCAGATTACACTATGCACGTAGCTATTTACAGAACAGCTTCCAGCAGGCCTTAAATTCCACTGCTGAACAGTGCTTTAGAAACCCTAACGTGGCCAAACTCTGTTTCCTAATCAGGCATTTTTGCTGACTTCAGTCTGCTAATTCTTTCCTTCAGTGCATCTGCCTGTATTTTTCCTTTTCCTGGGATACTGTTTTATGCAGTCTTCATAAATACTGCTGATCAGATGCATTGAGTATAGAAAAAAATGGCAGGCTTGGGTGCTCTTTTTCTGCTGGAAAAATACTAGAGAAGATTTCAATCTAGAAAAATGCTAAAGTGATTTCAGTGATGGTTGCAGCTCTTCAAAATAGGGTTGCTCTCATTGCTATCGGCACTGGGCGGTAAACAGTTATTAACCATTTCTAACTAAGGGTTGCTTAAGAGAGTGAAGAAAAACAAAACAGTCACAATCTCCAGACTCTGTGTTTCCAATACGCTTTGAGTACCCATGTTTTATATTGATTTATAAAGCCCAGCATGGCCAAATTACAAAATGCTAGATTTTTATACAGTTACTCAGGCACTTTGCTTATCTGAAGGCAGGCTTTAATAA